ATACAGACGACAGAGTCGGTTAGTCTGTTTCATTCCTACGTTTCGTGCGGGTATTTCGCGAAGTGAAATGCTGTTAAAGAAGTGAGGACTAACCCGAGAATAAAATATTCCAGTATCATTGTCATAAGAATTGAGAATCGCCGTAATACTACAAACATTGGAAGACTGAAAAGGGATATTGATTAATACATGCAATACTTAGCTGAGTAATTTCAAAATGTACTGTCGCAACTGCAGTAACATTCAGTCACTCATGACACTAATTCTTTTTGCTAGATCAACATTGGAAAGTCTGACAATAAAACGGACGGATTCACTTGTGCTTGGATGCTGCCAACTCACGAACACAGTAAAAATTTGAAGGCAAAAACGCTAACGAGAACGGAACGATGAGACAGCGGTGCTTAACGTATCTAAGGAAAAACTGACTAGGTAACGCTCAGCTACAACTGGTCTAACATGCAAAATTAATAACTGGTTTAGTACGTGGAAAGTTAATCTAAAATTTTCGAAGACGCATATCAACAAGAAACGAACCCCTGAAATTTCAGCTTTTTTCTCGTCTTTGCAATTGAAAATTACGTGATAATCACATGTCTGTATGTAAAAGTAAGTGAAGACTAAATTTAAATTCTCAGAGTCGCACAATGGTAGACAGCATTCAGTAAAAATTAACGCAGTCCTTTTTAGGTCTGATTTCTGAGTTAGAAATTTTTTGCCAAATATTCTACACACCAGTACAAGAGATAGGCGCACATGAAGGGTGGATTCTAATTTCTGGACCGCAAAACGCATAGAACAACCATTTAAACTTCCAACTTTGTAACTTTTCTGATCCCGAGCTCATTATCAATTTAGCATCAAAGCCCTCGCATGAAACCTACTTGAATTTGAATTTTGCGAGACCGCACATGGGGATAGAACAGTGTCCTGAAATTTCAGCTTCCTAACTTTTCTGATTTCTGAGTTGAAAATATACAGAATTGTGAATATATGTAAAATCCTATATATTTTCAACTCAGAAAGCAGAAAAGCAGTGTATATATATAAAGACAAACAGAAGCAACCGCACACCCAGGACCTTGACAATATGCGTTTTATACATCTGCTGCAGCACGAAATGTACGAATGAAAAAGAAACCTGATTCGTTGTGTTCCGCCCAATCCAGATACCAAATTCAGAGCATAAAAGACTGGCAACGGAAAGATCTGAGAATAAAGAAATCGTATTGAAAATTACGTACAATGTCGTGCCACTACGCTTGGACATAAGGAAAATGCATAAAATAAACTGCGCTGCTAAGGAAAGTTTCGATTTACAACTTAGCTACGAAAAATTCAAAGGTAAGACGATGTGTCGATAGCCGATTAAATTATCAGCAGCGGGTTTTGCTACGCTTCTGTCTGAAATACAAACATAGACGAAATCCGCGAACCCATACCTTACGTGGGATGTTTGAATCGAACGATGGGAATGTGACGATACGAAAGAAGCAGGCCGACTGCAGAATGACAACGGTTGCTGCCATTTGTCCTAACGCAACAAACAGAAACGACGGAAACCTGTAACACAATGAGCTTGAAAGAACCAGGTCAAAACCGAAAATTCTTCATATTTCAATGTCTAAGAGAGGTGTAATAAGAGATTT